ATACGACGTGCCGACCAGTAAATCTATGTTTAATTGCGCACCATTTCTTCATATATTAGATAACAAATGTTCCAACAAATTGTTTCTAAATGAATTTCCACGTAATGTGCTAATTCTCCATTGCTTTATAAACCACTAGGTCATATTATCACATAGACATTAAAATTATCTCCAATAAACTGCTTCAGAACATTCTTAAACACGAAAGTAAATTTCGAATTCAGCATAATCATGAACCTTCCAAGGTAGTCAACAATTTTTTTTAACCTTTCAACGACATATTGATTATTTGATTAACAATAATAGTTTACCGGCTCAGAATGTGACTAGATATAGAAGTAAAATTATTATCAATTTTGAACTTTTAATTTTTATTACAGTAACAATTGTTTAAGCCTATATAATAATAAAATTCCTTATATAGAGGATGCAAAAAATTACAAAGCAATTTCATCATTAGTCCAATGGATAAAGCTGCTAACAATTATGCTTTTATCTTTAAAAGATACTATATTGAAGGATGCTAAAATCTTCGGAACAAGGAATTAACTGTGATCTCATTAAACATTATGTTGGAAATGCTACTTATCAAATAGAAACAGAAACCTGTACTAATATTATCGTACGACAAATCAACATACATAATCGGTTCCGAATTATATTAAATGAAAATAATAAGGTACTTCTCTTCCTTTATGGAATTCCTAAATAGCATAAAACCCCTTATAAATTTCGTTTTATTACAGCTGCTATTCATTCCAGTATGAAACCTTTAGCACAGTTGCTTCATCGAATCTTTTTTTCCGTACTCATTTTGAAAAATATTGTAATGTCATTTACAATAAAATTGGACAGACTACTTTCTTCAGAATAAATAATTTTTATAAAGCTACAGATTACATCAGGACACGCACTACTGCTACTCAACTAATTACAGCTGACTCTTCTGCACTATTTACAAAACTTCCACACGTTGCAATTTATAGTTTAAAATTTCTACATGAGGTATGTTTTAAAAATTCCAGACGAAACTGCATAGCTGTAAGTTATAAAAACATTTTTTACACAGACTTTACGTCGGAGTTATAACAATATAAAACTTATACTGCCGGTGAGACATATTATGTGATTTACTGCGTATTTGCTGGACCGTATGTTTGCTGCGTAGGTAAAATACTTAAGCAAATTGAAGGAGTACTCATGAGAGGCAGTGCTAGCCTGGCTATCGCTGACACAACTTTGGCTATCTTAAATTATAAATATTCTATAGTAAACAGTAACCCACGATTATCTATGTGCTGATACGTTGATGATTTACTTATTATGCGTCATGCTGTGCAGCGCTATAGCCAGTAAAAACGTATATTATCGAGAAGCTGTCTGTATGTATGTGTGTGTGTTCAGAAGCAAGTGCATTTTGTCAACCACTTTCATGTCAGTAACCAGGAAAGCTGGGAACTGAAACTTTGGGTATATGCTCCTACCCCGGATATCACCCTCCCATTTCAAGATATTTCCCCACACGCGCCTAGACCCTGCGTATGTAAATTTCGTTGGCGGTAAACGATTTCGCGAATCAAGCAATGTAGGAAGCTGAAAATTTGCAGGAATATTCTCTATGCACATGCGGACTAAAGATTTTAAACTCAGCTATCCAGCACACTTGTAAAGCGTGTACAATCACGTCAAAGCTTGCGACTTGATACTATGCTAACTCAAAAATTTGCAAATTCTGTGAGGATGTTTGCCTCCCATATAAGAAATAGTATACCTAAAATGAGTTCCGATTTTTTTCCTACGCCACAACTTATGGCACTTCAAAGATATTTGTAGCGAAGTGGATATTTCGCTTACCGAATAAGCTGCGAAGCTGAAATTTCGCTTGAACATTCTAAGTTCAAGTTGCGGTCTTAATTCTGCTTGCAGGTGGAATTTCCTGCAAGTAGGCATGAGAAATGCTCAACTTTACCGAAAAATCACAAACGAGTGCGTTTTACAGCGAACGACCGCTCTCACCCAAATACGCAAATGAACATCAGTTCATTTGCGTGCTTGGATTTTTATGCGTTTTTGCCTATATGTAAATTGCAACCCAGGCTGGAACGCACCAGGCTCTTCGGTGCGATCATGCGTTTTTGCACTAATCTCGCAGAACGCTACTAGCAGGAGCGATCCCTACGCTCCAGCCTAACACTTGGGTCATATTACCGTGGTTTGATCTTTTCCGTCATGCAGAAGGTAGGGCGTCAGCTGAGATGAAGGCGGTGTATTATAGAGCCGCACGGACATCCAGACGCATGATTACCGGTTTTTTGCATGAAGTCCGGTCGCTTTTATGCGTTTTTCCTGCGCTGCGCTATA